GGGCGGCGAAGGACCGACAGTGAGGCTTGGTTCCGAAAAAGGCGAGGCGTCGCACCCCCGCGGGCGGCGGGGGCCGGCGGTGAGGCCGGTGGTGGCTGACGGCTCAAGAAAGAAGATGCGTCGGAAGGTTGAAGAAAGACCGTGGGTCATTGATTTCGCATCCAACGGTTCACATAATCGACTGACCTCAAACCAATTTTTTTAGCTGGCTGGTTTCTAGCCGCACCCAAAGAAATACTACTAGAATGTCAATTCAAGCCAAGACAAGAATCTTCCGAATTCCACGTAGGTGGTTCTTGCAAAATTATGTGAGATGGATTTGAAAAGTGCTTGAACCGATCGAAGAAGCTTCTGCACGCGGAAGGAATCAGCAACAACCAACCGTGGTACGTGCGTATGCAAGCTTTACGGGCAGTAGGTGCACGACACCCTAGAGGAGGAAATCCTCTAGAAGGGTGCAATAATTTAGGACTTGGGTTAGGTGACGTGCATCTGGTATTCTGGCTACGAGTTTAGGTCGAGTTTGGTAGCAGCCCAGCCCAGCCTCGGTGGGCTAGCTCGGATCGGATAAAGAATCCGGTAAAGGTGTCCGCCACCCGGGTCAAAACTAACGTGCCAAGCTTCCCTTTTCGTTGGGAACCACTTTTGGTCGTACCGGGTCGGGTCCCCCGTCCCCGGCCCCAGCCCGTTGAATCGGGCCCGACGTACCGTGATTCATGCATGGAGCAGACGTTGGTGCCGACCTGTTCTGCACAAGAAAAATAGCACGCCGAGTTCAAGTGAACTCGTCCGAGTGTACCCGGTCAGCGACAGTGAGCTAGTGCTAGTGATGCGGATCGGCAAGAATCGGTCGTGTCCCGTGCCGAAAAGGGAGTCAAGTTGGAGGGAGGCTCCACCACAGTCCACACCGCGTGTTTTTCTTGCAGGCGCAGGCTAGCTGAGATATCATGGGCGAGCTCTCGGCAGGGGCAGGGCACGGGCCATCGTTGGCAAGCGTTGTAGATGGACTGAACCCGACCGGGGCGAAAAGGATCGGCGTAAAGCGGGTCAGCGGTTGGGATCCCGGCACGAGAAGAGGGGTGGAGACTGACCGGGAGCATCTTGGGCGAAAGCAGTGGCGGCGGGCCGGGACGGAAAAGTCCGCGTGCGGCCTCAAGTCAGCTCCACGCGCGCTCCGCAACTTGCCGTAGGAGCTCTGGCTGTGCAAATGCACGCATGCGTGCATGGGTTCCGGAGCGCGAAAAGTCCTTGCTTATCTGATCTGATCGCCGGCCGCAAGCGAGGCCTCGGTCGAGATGCCGCTCAGATCGCGGGTGCAGCTGGAAACAAGGTATGGGTTGTTGTTTGTGCATGCGGTTGGTCGTGCTGCGACCTCTCACAGCATAAGTGGCAGTAACACCGACTGCGTCCCTCAAAAAGAGAAAAACTTCAACACCGACTGCGGTTAAGAGTGTTTCTCGCCAAATACTCCCTCCGTCTGGGAATACTTGTTTTCAAAATGGATAAAATAAATATATCTATAACTAAATAAGTCTAGATACAACCATTTTAAGGACAAGTATTTACGGACGGAGGGAGTAAAAAGTTGCCTGCTCTTCTGTAAAATAAATAACGGACACACGTTTTCAGAATTGTGTTGAATATAGTATACAAGATAGGTTACAGTTGGACCTGTAGTTGTATTGTGTTTATATAGGATATGGAGTCGTGTCCAAGTAGATCATTGTATCATAGGCCTCTCATATATAGCGGGGGTAAACACACGATGTAACATATGCCAACATAATAGCACCGGAACGCAGGGGAAGCTGGCGGCATGTGCCGGTGTCCAGGGCGACCGGGTGCGGTATTGTAGCGGTGTCATGGGGAGGAGCGTTCATAGTCAGGCCCCGGGAATGTAGCCATATCGATGTCATTAACAAATTTCGATGTCATACTCATGTAATTGCTTGGTCCTCGGATGATCGACGGTATATCTCGGATTTATTATAACACACATGTGCGTTAACCTAACAGCACGCGCACCGTAAGAAGGCGCACCGAGTTAGAACGTGGCAGGTGAGACGTGACTTACGAGGGAATGTGTGAACGCCGTACGAAAAGCACCACAGGAGAAGTACGTACTGCTGATCGGCCACGGTTTTGTTGCGATCGTTGGCAGTAGGCAGCACCTTTCGTCCGTGCCGGAGCGGAGGGAATCCATCCATCCTCTGACGCACGCCGAATAAACCGCCTAAACTAGTCGCACGCAGCCATCGCATGTGCAAACCGCGGCAAAGACAGCGAGCCGGACAGACAACCGCACACATCCATCCGTCGACCATATCATATCCCATCATCCGCTGCAAATGCTGATGCGGGAGGTAGGCGCACGGGTGGTTCGCGATAATTAACTAGCAGTTGGTGGCGAGTCCTATGAGGACGAACTAACCCGCTTATAATTAGCCAACGCGCGCTGTCTGTCACCCTGACCCGGCCGTGATCGAGCCACCATGAGTAGGTACGGGTAGCTAGCAAGGTAGCACACAAATGTGGTGTCAATTTGTCAAGTGCCGACCAGTAACCAACCATTCAGCCACTGACCGATAGCACATGTATTGTATTCGACCTAATTCTCCATGGTCAGTGCTTCGGTAACCTGGAGTCGCTGCTGGTGCTAGTGCTAGTGGTGCTTGTGACTCTTTGGGTGCAAGTCTGTCGCTAATGTATTGTATTCGACCTAATTCTCCATGGTCAGTGCTTCGGTAACCTGGAGAATCAGAGGCTAATGATTTGCCTCTCCGATGGGAATGTTTGTTGCGATGAGTGCCCGGTTGTTAGGACCACACGATAGCAAATCTGATGTGCAATGTTTTTGTTTTTGCTTCCTCTTGTTGAGCAACCACGTTCAGTTTTAGACTTGTCCGTCCAAAACGGCTGTGTACCTCCGATGTGTACCTCCTTAGTAATGACCTCCGTTTCAAACTACTTGTCTTAGACTTGTTTATATATTGATGTTTCTAACACTAAAGCATGATTAGATACATCTGTACATAGATAAATCTAGTACTCCTACAAGTAATTCGGGACCGATGGAGTAGTTCCCAATCATTGGATAAAAAAAGACACTTGCTCTACCTAAAATATATGCTTAATATCTGAATCAATATACAATTTCATTTAGTATGTAAATGTCACCTTTGTAGAGGCGGATTTTTGGTTCCAGGGTCTAGGCGCA